TGACACCAGACCGAAAGGGGTGCGGATGACAACTGGCAGTTGAGCAAAGTTGCCCAAGATGTCTCCCAATAAAATGGCACCACAACCACAGCCGGGGAGGCCAATATGGCGGATACCAAAGCTACCAACTTGGGTAAATAAAATAACCAGAAAAATTAGGCTTAGCAGTACTAAGCCTAAACAGTCCGCTAGGACTAGAATAGCCCTAACCTTCTATACTGAGATATAGGGCAACCCAAGCTAAGCCTAATATTAGGCTTAGCACCAAAAGTAGAGAAAATTTTCACAAATTACCTCTCTAGAGCAGAGAGACACACCTCTTGCCTGTTTGAAATCCAAACTCAGACCCCACCTTATATATATTGTCCATATATGTATCACGATTTATATCATCTACATAATATTATATTTTTATTAACTATGATAGCTTAGAAGTATATTTTTATCTATCTTTAAAGAAAGTGCGATTACGAATAAGATATAAATTTATTAATAAAAAGTTAATAAAATCAGTGTTAATTTGGGATTATCAAAGAAAAACTATGTGCAGCCGAAAAAAATATATAGAGGAGAAGGTGGTATTATGGAACACTGCGGGTATTATGGAACCACCCCATTTCGAACTGATAATAAAGGCGAACTGTAGCGGAATGAGGCTGAACTGAACTAGACAGACATCCATAGTAAGGGAAAAACCCGTTTTACTTCAGTTAAACGGTTGTCCGTATTTAATCAGCAAATTTGTTTTTTTCAAAATTCGCAAGTTTTGAATGCTAAGTGAATTTAATTATTTTTAAAATATAAATCGTGTAGTTGTAGGTTCACTGGTGCATGTATTCCGTTCCAGAGACTTAGGGGTACATATTAATCTGTGTGATGTTCACGTTTTTTAAATTTTGGTCTTGACAGACATAAGTTAATTCGAGATGGCGATGCGTGAAATACGGACCCCATTGGTGCTTTTACAGTAATATGGAACTCAACTCCTCCGAACTTTCTATTTGCAAGCAGACATTCCTCCAGAGCAATTTGTGAAAAAGACACTAGGTAGAAAGCCAATTCTTCCCGAGAATATCGAAAAAGAGCTGCTGGAATATATATTGTTGATGGAGGTCATATTTTTCTATTATAAAAGCATTTTTGCGATAAAATACATTGGAGTAAATAATTTTGTAATTATTTAACATTTTTTGTCCTTTCCTATTTGTTTTTGGCTACATTAAAGCATTTTTTTGAAAATATACAGTAAGGTTCCATATTACCACCCGATTTTCTCTAAGCCTACTTTCGGACTTTTTGTACAAAAGCCTTCAAAAACCATACTTATAATTACACTAGCGAAAAATCCAATTAGGAACATTTAGTTTACTAGTTACCAGTACTTTTCGCACAAAAAATGTGGGTGTAGTTATGATACCTTGTTTACAATTCACTAAAATGTAATTGGGGTTCCATAATACCACCTTCTCCTCTATATATTAGAAAATATTAGAAAATATATATATTGAAATATTGATAATATATTTTAATGACAAGGAAATAATCACATAGATGATAAATATTTTGGCATGATAATTGATTATGAGATCTCATCACCATAAGATACGGCAGAACTTGTCTAAAACGGGAACCTTCCTAGACGGAAAAACTTCGATACCGCTCAATTCCGGTTTATACGGGTTTTATAATAATAATTTTTGTATATTTTGAATAAAAATAGCGAATTTAAGAAGTTGTTTTAAAAGTTTTAAATATTAAAATTTATTATTATTTTTTTGTAATTTTAAAAAATATTTATAAGTTATTTGTAAATTATTTTCTAGAATATGACAAAAGTTACAATAATTTTATTAATAAACAACAAATATTATAAAATATTTTATTTTATTTAAGTTAAAATTTTATTACATTTATTTTTTTAATGTTTTCTTACAAAAAAATGTTAATTCAATCACAAAATTTACTATTTTACAATAAAAGCTTTTTCACAAAAAAAGGGGTTAATTAATTATAATTTAAATAAATTAGAATTAAAAAAAATAATTTACACAAAGAAACTGTCTTAAGTTCTGTAGAATTAATAAAATATTTTGCCATAGTTTGTTTCTTTTATAATCTAATTACTAAATGCGATTTATAAAAATTTTCTTTGTTTCTTTCTATTAAGTTTTACATTATATAGAATGCCCCCATAAATGGGTGTACAATTCAGAAGCATGCAATTTCATAAGAATTAAGCTTCACCTTAAAAATTCTGATAGAATTCTTGATTTAGTTTACATTTTTCTCCATTTTTTCTTTTTAAATTAAATTTGAAAGGAAAAAACTGGAGAAGAATGCAATATAAATTTATTATAATTAAATTTTAAATATAAAAACATTTCATAATTTTCCCTTAAAGAAGTGTGTTAAAAATTAATTATTAATGAAAACAATTTAAAAGAAAATTGAAGATTTATAGTAAATATTTGATTAAAGGCTAAATTAATTTAGAATTATTTGTGTAAAAAATTAACATTAAATGGTTTACTGATACTTTTCCATCATGGCCTGAAGATTTGTAAAAATTTTTAATAATGCTACCAAGGATTTAGATTAATGTTGGGTGTATAAATAATTTTAATAATTAGAAAATCATAAAATATCTCTAGTGATGAACTCTTCATGGTTATTTTGTAAACTGCAATATCATATTCCATGTATTCTTAATATGTATGCATAACTCTTATTGAGGATGCTTCTTTTCTGTGTCATCTGGATAGATACTTTTATATCTGCAGCAAATTTAAAGGTGAATGTACTTTTAAACATAGTATATAATATATTAATTATAATAACAAGTTAAATACTAATAAAAAATAATTTTAATGAACATTAGAATGCAATTTGGATGTGGTGTAAATTTAATACAAGATTAAAATAATTTTCACTTTTAAGTTTAATTTGTAACTAATGTAATTTTAAATAATTTTAATTATTTAAAAAGTTTGAAGCTGTTTTTATGTAGAAAAAGAGAAAAATTTTATTAACTTTATAATGACAGCATTATAAATTACTTGAATATAAAAGCAAATGTTTAATGTTATTTAATAAACAATTATGCTCTATAATCAGAATTTCCTTTATTAAACAAAATATTCAGATTATAAATTGATTTGATATAAAATATGTTTTGAAATTCTGTTAAATAAATGTCAGATATTCTGAAAAATCATGTTAATTTAATTTTCATAATTAGGTAAGCATATCCTTTGCTAGAAAAAAAATTATATATTACAAACTTGTTTACTTTTAATGTTGTCAAATAATCTTAAAGCCTTTCAAAAAATCTCCATCCAGAGATGCACCTTATCTAGGAATGTATCTTTATCCATAGATGCAGATTCATACAAACCCCTAGCATTCTTTTTAATAAGATTACTCATTTTTCTAGACTAATTTTTTTAAAATAGCTGTCTGAATTGTACACCCACTTTATGTGATATCCTATATATTCAATCTACAAATGGTTTTGATTCCTATTGCAAGATACCATGTGGATTTATTATATATTTTATGAGGGATATTTTGTCTAAAATTCAATTTATTAAAATTAATAAAGACAACTTTGCACATTAATTTTCCTTTTTTATATTTATAAATCAAATCATTAAGATAATAAAATTTGTATATAAATATATTTATAAAAATTTCTTATATTTTATATTAAGTACAAATTGAAAAACTTAATAATACTTATTAAATA